ACTGATGGTCCAAATGTCCCCATTCATTCCTGCCCCTAAAGCGCTGACCGATTTTCCCAGCACGCTGACCTATGGCAAGGCCCGGATGGACGTCCTACGCTCACACATATGCCTTCGAGTGGTGGAGAAGGCGGCATTCCCTCTATTTTACGCGTCCCTGCTTTCCGTGCTAGGACTCCATCACGAGTCGATCCTTATACGCTTCACGGGTCTCGTCAGAGAGATCACAGAAGAGTTCCTGATGAGCGTCGAAAGTTCCCCACCTTTAGAGAACCGTGTGAAGAACACAATAAAGCGGATCGTTTCGGGTATCAATTTCCAAGTATTGGGACCTTTGTGGCTCAAGGACGACCTTATGTCGACATGGTACTTAAGCCCCGCGTCGAACACGACGGCCTTCGAAACTTACGTCGAACTACACGAGTGCGCGTTCGTTCAGACCTTGTCGTTCGGCTCTTCCGGACGCTGGACTCGATCAGCGTTCAGATCGACATGCTGGCATGAGCGCTACTCCAGCACCATCTACGTCCCGGCGCTAGTCTTTAACATTACGCTGCCGCTGAGCGAGAAATCCCGGCACCTGTGTCGGGCTGCGGTTCGAGTTGTAGGTTGCATCTTCGACGCAATCTTGGCCGAAACAAATTCCACCTCGGTGGAAAGCTTGTTATCCGAGGAAGGCACGGCTAAGTTGCGCAACACCGCCACTTGCTATGGTCTCGATGGGCTGGAGCCACCTTCGACGTCGCTTCGCGATGCGCTTACAGTTGAGTTCGCTTTTCGTCACTTCGACAAGAGCGTCAAGAAGTCTGTGAATCCCTTACGTCTGCGCCTTCCTCAAGGCAAAGTACTCACAAGCTCCCAGTTATTCTTCGTTTATTTGATGCTTCAACATTGCGAAAAGAAGGGTGGGCTGGACACACTAAAGCTTGGGTCAGCACAAAACCTTAATTTCGTGCTTTCCAGAGATTCAAACTTTGCTGCTGCCTTCAACTGTTCCCGAGGATCACCGATGAATCCAGGGAAGAAGTGCTCATCATATCGAGTATGAATAAGAACCGTGTATGCTAGAATAATTCCTTCTTTTAAGTTAAACCTGCCATGACGCGTATTAATTTGGCGCATTCGAGTATTTTTGCATTATATTGTGGAACTTTCCCATTTAACGGCATGATAGCACTTTGCTTAATTATTCATACGTTAATATTGTGCCCAATGGCAGCTGCAACTAAGTACAGAAACTCTGAGCATTTGTTAAAGATGCATATGTTCGTTGCTTTTGTTTTTTACGTCATATAGTAGAGTGGTGTCTTACATTGAGTGTTCGCCCCGCCGCGGTGGTCTAGTGGCCAAGGTACTCGATTGCTAACCCGCAGGTCGCGGGCTCAAATCCCGGCTGCGGCTGCTGCATTTCCGGTGGAGGCGGAAGATTTAGGCCCGTGGGCTCAGATTTGGGTGAAAGTTAAATAACCCCAGGTGGTCGAAATTTCCGGAACCCTCCACAACGCCGTCTCTCATAATCATATGGTATTTTTGGGACGTTAAACCCCACATATCAAATTATTACACTGAGTGTTCGACGAAACTGTGGTTATCTTATAGCAACAGTCACTCACATACTAAGCACCAATGTTGTGACGCTTTTCAGCAAAAGTCATAAGAACTTCACATTTTTTTCAAGGATGGTTAGCACGTTTAAAACTAATTTTCACGCACTGAGACATTTTCCAACCTTTAGCATTATACCTGAAAGTTAATCCATTTTTATTGAAATTGACGCACCTAGACGTAATACCTTTATGGCACAGCACACTACATTTCCCCCGTCTTTCGTAATCCGGTTTTATTCAAAACCGGAATGACTTTTTCAACTGATCGAATACCAGGAACATATCATAGTACCGATAACCAATAATAATTAAATGTGAAGCATTTCTCCGCGTACTGCAGACACTTGAGCATTTCTATCTATGCGTCTAGCCACCTACGTGCGGGTGCTTTCGGGATCACCCACTTAACTTAGAGTGGGAGGGCACGAGGGTTTCTCAATTATGATTGTCCGGGGATGACATGAATATTGCGAAAATTCCGTCGCATACGACGTCAAATCATTTACTTTGGACACGTGGGGCACATACCCGTATACCACAACGGGATGCGGTATGCGTCACAGGTTTTTAACAGTTTATATTCACTTAGGAACAGCGGAAACACAATTGTAATTTAAATGCGAAAGCGTTGTTAAAGTGACATCGGCAGCATTGACCCAACAAACACAAAGAATAAATGTCATGGTCTCAGCAGGAATGGAACACAAGCATACTAACGTGGTAATCAAGTATTCTACCGTAGGGCCTCATCAGGTCTACGAACTGCTATGGAAAAAGACGCTATCAGGCGCCATGTTATTGAAACGTCAATTGAAACGTCATGCAGTGCTAAACATTACATATACTTTGGACACGTGGGGCACATACCCGTATACCGCAACGAATGCGGTACGCGTCCCAGGTGTTTAACAGTTTATATTCACTTAGGAACAGCGGAAACACATTTGTAATTTAAATGCGAAAGCGTTGTTAAAACGGACATCGGCAGCATTGACCCGACAAACACAAAGACTAAATGTAATGGTCTCAGCAGGAATCGAACACAAGCATACTAACGTGGTAATCAAGTATTCTACCGTAGGGCCTCATCAGGTGTACGAACTGCTTTGGAAAAAGACGCTATCAGGCGCCATGTTATTGAAACGTCAATTGAAACGTCATGCAGTGCTAAACATTACTTATACTCCAGCTATACAGACGTCATGCCGGGTTAGATTAATTAGTAATGAAGCGCCTTTCACTCAAGGTGGTCTATACGTTGCACTGCCCAGGGCTACATTCACCGAAATCACGAGCATTGACATTTCATCTTACCGCTTCTGGTGTTGGTGACATTGCTCTTGGCATTCTTACGCAACTGTAAAAAACTCATTTTATAAAAGATATGCGACTCTTCGACATACATGTCTGTGCGTGTATCATCTGTATTTATGTTTAATAACAGTTCGTAACGTTTCGGTAAAGAAATGCACCCCGGTCACCTTCTTTCGGCAAGCTTCGCATGGCATCGATTCTCATGGTGCGTAGAACCTGCTGAATTTTTCTTGTTTTAGTTGGAGTACGTCACACTTGCATTCCGCTCCAGTGTCCAATACCACTATCGCGCACAATCAGAGAAAACTAAATAAAAAACAAATATATCCAGTTTTGTATAGAATTTAAACTTGGACCCCCTGAGTAGCAGACGCATTTTTTAACCAGACCCACGCCGGTACTTGAAACTCCTTCACAAATTGATTCTAAACAGACATTATAATGGGAAAGGAATCACGTTAACATATATGGTATGGCATGGTAGAAGGATAAAAAATGCCCAGGCGTAACACAATGCGAATTGCCTTACGAGTGGGTCGTTTAAGGTTTCCAACTAATTCCAAAGGACTCGACCATAATTCTTTATCGTCGTGAGCCCAGGACGAGATTATGGCTTCAACCGTGACTGGACTGATAGGACTTGAAACTCCTTCACAAATTGATTCTAAACAGACATTATAATGGGAAAGGAATCACGTTAACATATATGGTATGGCATGGTAGACGGATAAAAAATGCCCAGGCGTAACACAATGCGAATTGCCTTACGAGTGGGTCGTTTAATGTTTCCAACCAAGTCCAAAGGACTCGACCATAATTCTTTATCGTCGTGAGCTCAGGACGAGATTATGGCTTCAACCGTGACTGGACTGGCAGGCCTACACTCACAGCAACATCATGGTCTTTTGAGCAGCCTGAAGTTCTAGATGTCATGGACTGTTGAGCGAAAATTCCCCAGAGTCCGTGCACTGCAGCTGTGCCCAGCCTCTAAAGCTAGACACAGGTGCAGCAATCGTTAAAAATATCTGCAATTGTGGCATTGGAGGAGGATGACTTCACTATGTCGTTACAAACAGAGGAATGCGTATTCAGGTACAAAAACAAATGGGGAAGCTTATACTACGCGAGCAAGGTTTGAAAAAACAAAAACAAAACGATGATTCTGAAGTCTAATTTGGTTGCTTCTAATTTAGGTCATGGCCTTAGCCGAGTCCCACTAGGTTCCTCCTATGTTCCTCTCAAGTTCCTTCTAGTTCCTTCTAGGTCGTCGCTAGACTTTTTAACTTGGCAGTGCTAGGTTTGGTCGACCTTCATTCTCTGCTCAGAGACGTTTGAGTGAACCACAGACAAAGACGGACATGACACGCACGTGCACTCTCCAGAGACAAACTCATGCCGAAACCATTTCGTTCGTTCCTCTCGTAGATCTATACGGGCACATAGACGTTGGTGCAGGCCATCGCTCTCTGCAGCGTTCATCTCACCGCCACTGTTGCCTTTCCTTTTGTCTGCAATTGTCGCGTTGTATATGTACTCGGGGCCTTCAGTTCGAAGCCGTCACTTCGCCGCCATTTGTGTTTGGAAGAACAGGTCGTCGTTTTAATTTTTACTGAACTCGCGGTCAGTGATTGAATTTGCCAGATTTCTGTGGGGCACACCTTCTTCTTGTCAGGACGATAATTTTCTCAAGAGACTCGTATGGAACGATTCGCTGAAAAGCTTCACCATTGAACCCCTTCGCGCTCGAATTGTTCGAAAAGAATATACCAGCCAACTGTAATGTCGGGAGTGCTATTAGCACGCGTGACTGGCTGACGGGCGACGAACCTGATCCCTCCAATTCACTAGCCTACGTGGTTCGCGTTGCGTCATCCCTTTTCCTAACCTGTCGACCCTTATACGCGTGCCGTTTCAACCGCATTACAAAGCACGTTCACACTTACGAACATTTATAAGAGACGGTGTCGTCACCATAGTTTACGACACCTCAACCCCGCTGTCACGTTGTCACGTTTACGTCAGTTATAGATTAGCTCTAACTCTGATGAGCGATTTATTGACGAAGGTCGTAAACGGAACGCATGGCTTAAAAGAGGCCCACTTTGAAGAGTTTCAACTGGCCATCTCGCCATCTTGCTGAAAAGAGGCGTAGATTTTGCCTGATTTACTTTGTCGACACACTCGTTTCCATATCGAACGCTGTGATCACTCATCGCAGCGTCTGTCCTCTTCGATGTTGCATAACCGTTCGTTGCACTGATGGTTTATGCATCATGCTTCCGTTCGACGTGCTGACATGAAGTCTCTAACCAGGTCAACGAACTCTTCTGTCTTGTTGTGCACCCAGTGGTTGGCGCCTTTCACCGTAGCGAGGCGCGCGTTGGGAAACACACGCTTGATGTCTTTGAAGTCGTCGGCCCTGCAAGAGACCGAACATAACAGCTTTCAGTTCATCTAAGCCACACCACCAGAAAACGCAAGGGACAAAACAAAAACGTCGCAATGCAAGGGTGAAAATAGCAACAAATTGGAATGTTATGCGAAGTAAGGCTTGCAGCTCATGTCTTATCATCCGACCTGGCTTGTCTCAGCGAAACGCTGGCGTAAGAAAACGGAGCACCTGCACGCGGGCAAAGAAACCTTCGTTTTTTGTCGCTTCAACGCAAACTGAAAGCTGCGAACACAACACATATACATAGCGTGCACCGAGCGCCGCTTCCTCACTTGCGGTATGTACACCATCGTATTTCATGAAAGGGAACACGCGAACATCTCTTGGCCTGCATTCTGCGACGGCTGCCTACAGCATCATCACCTGATGGCTGAAGAAAACGTGTCTGCTTTTGGCGTCACCACCTGTTCTGAGCCCAGAGCTTGGGTGTCATATAGGTGCGCTTGTCTAACGGCCATGACACGTTATTAGATGCGGAGCAGTTCTTTGACTGGCATGTGTAGCGCTATCCCTTCGTGCGTTCGTACGAACACCCCGCGCGCTCTCCTCGCCGCAGCTGTTGGAGCAGGGCCAAGTAGGTCACGCCGCAGCTGTGCGTTTACTTCACGCTTCCCTCGCAGTGCGCTCTGACGTCACTCTCTCTCTCGCCGCATGGTACGTCTGCCCACGACCCCTGCCACTATCACCACTCACTGCACCGCCGATTCGTCGGTTCACGCGTAATAAACGCAGCCGTCTATCGCAAGACCTACACGAGCCATGGCTTCGAACAAATCTTTCCGCGCCAACCGCACCAACCGCGTTAGCGTAGTTCAACCCTGATGCCACCCATAAGCAACGCTGCTGCTTCGCATCCCATCAGGGCTCCCTTTGAGAAGATGGTGTGAAATTTTCGTTTGCTGATAAATGATGTCAAAAACCGTCGTGCTTTCTTCGGCTGTCCATTGGTGGAGCTGTAGTCAAGTGCCACAGAGCGCAGGTGAAGTGCTCTGGTGTTCTCTTTCGTAAAAGATGACAGAGTGCCTATACAACGTGCTGACCAGCAACCTGTTGCCGTTTTGCATGTGTCCTCTTAGTTCACCCTCATGACACCAGTTTAGGTAATTTTCAGTCTAAGTGATGCAAGTGGTCTTCGAAGCTCACGAGCAATGAGCAAAGCGTGCCGAAAGTGATTACCCGGCATGGAAAACGCACATTACGAGTTCCCGAATAGTGCCGTTGTATTTGGCTGACAAGCAGTAATAGAAATGACTTAACATCTCTAACATTTGTGTCGGCGGATGTGCCTTCATTACGAACCAAATATCTCTAAGTACTTATCATTTAACATAGACAGTATAGCTTACAATCCATCGCGAGTATATATAGCTGTACTATTCGAGGAGCTAGAGGGTGTTAAATGGGATTTAATAGGGCTCATTGAGGTTAAGGCGACACATGATGCTTATACAGTGCTACAGAATGGGCACGTCCTTAGCTATCGTTGCTTGGCTGACAGAAGAAAACTCGGCATAGCGTTTTTTATCCACAGAAAGATAGCGGGTAACAGAGGAATACTATAGCATCAATGAAAGGGTGGTAGGTATTGTAATTAAACTCAATATGAGATACAAGATGAAGGTGGTACTGGCTTACGCACTTACATCCAGCTATGAAGACGCACTAGCTGAAAGCTTCTATGAGAAAGTGGAATCCGCATTGAAGTCGCCCATCAGTATAGTATACTGTGTTTTTACCTTACTCATTACCGAATGCAATGACAACGAGTAAGGTAAAAACACAGTATACTATACTAATTGGCAGCTTCAATGCTAGGGTAGGGAAGAAGCAGGCTGGAGACCAGGCAGTAGGAGATTATGGTATTGGTACTATAAATGCCAGAGGTGAGTTATTAGTATATTAGTATATATTAGTATAAGTCGCAGAACGCAATTATTTATGGATCTTGAATACCTCCTACCAAAACGAAGGAACCATAAGTGGACATGAAAGAGCCCTAATGGCGAAAGTAAGAACAAAAAAATCAGACTGAGTGCACTCCCAGGCATCGTGTAGGATGTGCAAGTACTTGACAAGATAAGATGCAGTGGCCATAGAATGGTAAGGTCTCGAATGCGCCTAGACTTGAAGGAACAGCAGAAAGTGATTATCAAGAAGGCAATCGATGAGTTGGCACTGAGAGGCAAATTATAGGAATTCAGAGTCTCACTTCAGAACAAATACCCGGCTCTTATTGTGAAAACCAGCCTTAGTGTTGACGCAAATAATGATGATCCGACAAGTATCATTACGGAGTGTGCAGTGGAAGTTGAAGGTACGGTAGTTAGACAGGACACTGGTATGCTGTCCTGGGAGACGAAGAACCTTACAATTAAGGAAACGTCTAAGCATGAAAGCCTTAAGCGCAACAGACAAAATAGAACTGGCCGAGCTTTCGAAGTCGAATAATAAACGTCAAGTATCCGATGTAAGAAGGTATAACATGGAGAGAATTGAACATGCTCTGAAGAACGAAGAAAGCGCCAAAGTCGTGAAGAGGAAACTTGGGATAGGCAAAAATCAGATGTTTGCACTAAAAGCCAAGGAATGCAAAGTAACTACCAATATGAATAGGATAGTTAAAATAAGGAAGGAGTTCTACAGAAATCTGTACGGTAGCCGGGAAAATCATGACCATAATGTAAGAACTAGCAGTAACCAAGCTGGCATCCCACCAGTAATGAGAGAAGAAGTCAGAAAAGCCTTAGAGGGAATACAAAGGCAAAGCTTCTGGTGAGAATCGGGTAACATCAGAGCTGCTGAAAGACGGAGGTCACATTGGGGTAGTAAGAGTAGCCATGGTGTTTACGAAGTGTCTCCTGGCGGGGAGGGTACCAGAATCTTGGAAGAATGCTAACATCATCTTAATACATAAGAAAAAAAGATGACAAGGACTTCAATATTTACAGGCTGACCAGATCTGATCAACTTGCTTTCCTTCGTATACAAGCTATTTACGAAGCTAACAAGCTATTACCAAGGTAACTGCTAACCGAATTAAGACAACGCCAGAATTCAATCAACCAAAGAAACAAGCAGGATTTTGAACAGGCTACTCAACATTCGACCGCATTCATACTATCAATCAAATAATAGAGAAATGCTCTGAATACAGCCAACCACTATACATAGTCTTCATAGATTACAAGAAGCATATTTGGCTCAGTAAAATATCAACAGTCATGCAGGCACTGCGGAATCAGGGCGTAAACAAAGCACAATAAACAACCTGGAATCAATCTACAGAGGATCAACCGCCACCATAGTGCTCCATAAAAAATTCAGTGAATACAAATCAAACAGGGCGTAAGACAAGGGGATACATTCTCCCCGATGCTATTCAGCAGGAGGTTTTCAGAGGCCTAGAATGGGAAGAGTTAGGGATAAGAGGTAATGGAGAGTATCTTAGTAACCTGCGCTTCGCAGATGACATTGCATTGCTGAGTAACTTAGGGGACGAATTGCAACTCATGATTACGGAGTTACACACAAAAAATCAGAAAGATCAGAAAAAGATCTGCAGAAAACGAAAGTAACGTACAACAACAGCGGAAGCGAACAGCGCTTCGAGATAGGTAGTAGTGCACTTGAAGTTGTAAAAGACTACACCTAATAACCGTGGACGCGAACCACGAGATTGAAGTAACTAGAAGGATAAGAATAGCATAGAGCACATTCGCAAAGCACTCTCAGATCATGACTGGTATATTGCCGCTATCCCTTAAGAGGAATTATAGCAGCTGCATCTTTCCGGTACTTATCTGTGGAGCAGAAACCTGGAGACTTACAAAGAGGGTTAAGCTTAAATTGAGCACGACGCAGTGAACGATGTAAAGGAAAATGACTGTTCTAACCTGAAGAGGCAAGAAGAGAGCTTAGTAGATCAAGGAACAAACGATGGTTAAGGATCTCATAGATAAATCAAGAAGGAATTGACATGTAGTGTGGAGGCAAGATAACCGCTGGTCATTAAAGGGACACTAAAGGCAATTATTAAGTCAACGTTGATTTTTCAAATAGCGGCCGAGAGTCCTCATAGCGTCACTTTTGAGCCAAAGAAGCGCTTATTTTAAAATAAAACGCGTTTTAGTGGCCGCATCAGGTTAGCGTCACTTCAAACTACCTTCCTCGGGAAGCAGACCGACTCACGTCACTGTTGCCGTGCACAACATTGCCCGGCATTACTGCGTGGTCACCGACACTATAGTAGACCGAACGAAAGCAGCGGTAACCACAGCAGCAACAACGGATATTGATTCATTTCCTGCCATTGGCTCCGAGATGGCCGACGTGTTTTCGTTATACTGCGCCCCACTAGATGGCACGACCTGCTCTGTGTAACCACGTCAAAATAGAATTTTTGAAGCACTCGCGCCATTCACCACAGTAACGTCCGGTGGTTATTTTTTCCGTGAATGAAAGAGGAACGAACAAGCAGCAGTTTATTGCGACTTTTGATGCACGGAAAGTTGTTAATATAGTGAAGCTAGATCGATTACTAGTGAATAATTGTATGCGGCTCATCTGACATTATCGGTATCATTTTGAGAATTTCCTTTGTCGGCGCATGTATTTTTGTGCATTTACCTTTATTTCTCGGTAAGTAGGGCACTGCTCTGTATATATATTGAGCTTCCACTCAGAGGTAAATTGTTACTTGACTTTAGTGTCCCTTTAAAGGTAACTGAGTGGATTCCCAGAGAAGGCAAATGAGATGGGGGAGACCGAAAGTTAAGTGGGCAGAGGAGATTGGAAAGTTGTCGGGTATGAAGTGGCAGCAGCAAGCACAGGACAGAGTTGACTGGCGGAACATGGAAAGGGCCTTTGGCCTTTGTCCTGCATGCAGTGGACGTAGTCAGGATGATGATGATGATGATTATGATGATGATGGTGGTGATGATGATGATGATGATGATGATGATGATGATTATGATGATGACGACGACGACAACCTAGGGAAAAGGACGGGAGGGCTTGAGCGCCGGAGTTGACATCGCATGAACGCTATGCATACAAAGGCATGAGCGGGAGGTTTGTTTATCACTGTAGAGATAGGGTGGATTCAATCACGAGCGGCGCTTTACGGTATCCAGTTTCTTTCGAGGCCACGGAGTCCCCTATCCGGGAGACTTCCATGTGAGTTTGTGCATATTGATCAGGACCGACCGAGCCCGACCGACCAACGGACCGACTGACTGACTTTCGTTGATTCCCCTATCCACTCTCTGTAATGGTGTACCATGTCCAAGATGATTCCTCTATCCACTCTTTGTAATGGTGTACCATGTCCAAGATATACACGATCATTTCTAAATGCTCGTCTGAGATGTATTCCTTAGCATTGTTATAACCGGAAGTTAAGTGTAGACCTGAAGAAAAACAAGCACTGACCGCGAACTTGTGAATTAGTTATGAATTAGGTTGGACACTGAACTGCCCCAGAAGCAGCAGCCACTCCAGCCGTACTCCAGGTCACTCTAGCCATATGGTCAGTAATACACACCGGAGTTTTTTAAAAAAAAGAGTGATTGATTTATATGGGGTGTTTAACGGCCCAAAACCACCATATGATTATGAGAGCCGGCGCAGTGGAGGGCTTCGGAAATTTCGACCACCTGGGGTTCTTTAACGTGCACCCAAACGCTAGCACACGCGCCTACAGCATTTTCGCTTCCATCGAAAATGCAGCCGCTGCAACCCGGATGCGATCCCGCGACCTGCGGGTCAGCAGCCGAGTACCTTAGCCCACTAGACCATCAGCGGTAGTGTTCACGAAGAAAGTGTCACTACAACGAAAAGATGCGATGTCGCTTTTTGCTTGGTAGCTAACAAGTAACGCGTACTATTACCTGAGGTACGCAGATTCGTCGGCTGCGACGAACAATGCGTCTACGTCGGAATGTCCATTGCCGAGGAAGTGAGGATCGGCCATTACCGGTAGGAACTTCCTGAGTGCCTTGATATTGATCCGCCATTCGTACGAATGAGGTCCCTTGCGAAGGTTGGCCAGGAGGACGCTGCGGATGAATGGATCCTGTTGAAGATTGAACGAAACGAGTTACGACTACTGATAAATGTTTATAAAATAAAAAACGGCTCATCATTCAGTCATTGTAGAAGGTTGTTCAGTTCGGCCTGCTGGTACGTATGAGCATTGGTAAAAATGTGCGAGGACGGAACTCGGTACCTTCCTTGTATCATACTCACGCAGTTCTTACGAAATTCATTCATTGGATAGAGACTTAATGAAATCAATGTAACAGTTTTGATTCGTTTTGATGTACAAGCTGCTCCGCCCTTCTCCTCCCTCGTAACTGACGCCTGCGATTGAAGACGTCGTTTGCCTGTTATCATCTATGCCTCCAGCAAAGACTTCTAACGTCGTACAAACTTCAAGACTAACCTGCCCTTCATTACATTAATATTTTTTGTGGTCTGAGCACCCAGTGGCACTCCTGGTTCTATTCAAAGCATATCTGGTAGAGCCCTTCCGGTAGTGTGAATAGTCATAAAATATTTTCTTTAAAATAAAATACATAATTTTAGTTCAAGGGCACAGTTATAGTGGATGCATAATATATCGAAGCATAGAAGATACAGCCCAATTAACAATTGAATATGATAAATAATGAGATATTATTGAGTATACTAAAATGTGGGAGTAGCGGAGATTGTGGCGGCACGTGGCGGAGAGGATCTGAAACACTCGCTGTTTTCTAGATGGTATTCCGATATATGCACGAAACGGATAGTACAGGTGCAGGTTGGGAGTTACATTTCAAAGCGAGAGCTTTAGATACGCCATCAAACAGAAAGTGACCATCGTCAACAATAGCGATGCAAAAAGTTTACGTTTAGAAAACGTCTACCGATCGGAAAAGCTTTATGATTGTGGCCAAAGTGAGAAGATTGTTCATACCATCAGCGGCAACGAGCACGTTTTTGTCCCATGAAAAGGTTTTATGATTTTGTTTTCATCTTCAAAGTCGTCAAAATATGAACGCTGGCGTCACCCATCAACGATGGGGTCAGCCTACTGATTGGACAAGAAATCCTCTTATTTAAAAACCGCCAGGCCTGCGGGAAATGCGCAGCATAGTCACAGCGAAAAGTGGAAGAGTAGCCTTTCAGGGCTTTTTTAAACTCTTCGAGCCACTGCTGCAAGCACGCTTTCTGGGCACCCCTATGCTATAAATAATTGTGAAGTATAGGCAGGCATTCACTATGGCATCCTTCGCCATTCTTCAAAGAAACGTAGTAACTGCTACACACTTGCAAGCAATTTAGCGCATTTTTTATGCTATGGCTGACGACAATGAAGAATCATGGCAGAAGCTTTTGTAAACCCCACAATTCCCGACAATGGATACGCAGCACAGTTAATAGAGGATCGAGAACAAGTTTTTACAGTGAAATGGAGCATTAGACGACCAACTCGCTCCGCAATTCGCATTGTGTGATATCTGTTTTTTTTTAGGGACGAAGCTCCTTATGGCGTGGCTTGTGCGTCCCTCGTAGTACGTAACCACCAGTGGCACATACTCGAAATAGCGGTCCTTACGATTTTGACCTCCAAGGTGGTTCCGGTGAGAGATTTCTTCTGTGCGTTGTTGAACAATAAAAGATAGTGCTCAATGCACATGTTAATGGCTGCTAAGGGGGAATGAGAGACAGGAGCATTCGGCCTTTAGGTAACGCGCACGCTGCGATTTCCATTAGCAGCTATTATGTACATTCAGCACGATCTGAAAAGAAAGGGTTGCTACGTTATACTCGCTGGGTGTAACCTCCTTGGTTTTAGAAAGGTTTAGCGAGAGTTGGGCCGCATAGCCATGAATACAGTGAACTAGTATATACCATGAACTCGAGGTGGTTAAAGGTGGGAAGTAAACCCGAAGCGCAAGCCGTAAGAAAGTGTGCATGTGCCACCTCCCGTTTAGTCCTTGAAATGTCCGCTGGATGGCAGTGCTTCTATATGGAGAATATATGATGAAAAGATGCGAGATGGTTGTACTTGGAGTGCTGAATAGATGGACGAACGAACACACAGACAGATGCATGGATGGACGCAAGAACGGACGCAGGCGCGGATGCATGGACGAACGCAGGGACGGACGCATGAACAGACGCACGCATGGACGGGTGGATGGATGGAGGCATGGGCGGGTGGATGGATGGATGCATGGACGGTTACACAGACGTACGCAGGAACGGACGGAAGCAAGAACGAATGGACGGACGAATGCTTCGCCCCACTCGCCATCATTCACTCCGTGGATATGCTGCCATTTTTTTTTTTGCTGTTCCAAAACGCTCTATTGTTCATAATAACGCAATTCTTTTCTTGACATCAAGCCTGCCTAAGGCGAATGGTCGCGCCAGGGACTATTTTAAATGTGAAGCATTTCTTTGCCAGCTGCAGGCACTTTGAGCGTCTATCTAACCCCTGAAGTCTGGGTGCTCTCGTGAACACCCCTTAACATGTCTAAACCGAATTTGTATTGGAGGGTAAGATATTTTCACGAATACGACTCGCCGGTGATGACACGACGAATGTCACAATCCCGTCGTGTACGTCGTCAAACACTTTCCGCCAGACAGTGGCCCATATCATTGGGTGGGTGTGTGCAAATGATATGCGGATGTGTGCCACGGGTGATTGACACTTTATATCTACCAAGGAAAGCCGAGAACACACATTAATAGTTTTAACGAGTGAAGGTTAATAAAAAGCTGACATTGGCTGCGTTCACCCGATGAGTGCACATAATAGGGTCCCTGCAGGAATCAAACCTCAGCTTTCTGCGTGGCAATCGCGTATTCTACCACAGAGCTATGCCAGGTATGGGGACTACTTTTCAAATAGACCCTATTGCTCGTGAAATGTCAATTTTGGTTGTAGTGCTGGCTATTTAATATTACAGACATTACATGTACTCCTGTGATACAGCCGTACGCAGCGTTAACGTCAATTGTAGTTAGGTGCACATTTCATTCGCTGAAGTTGATTTATGTAGCAGCGTCCAGACCTACCATCCTTGCGAACACCAGCGCTTCATACCAGCTTACCGCTTCTGGTGTTGCTAATGTGAATCATGCTGTTGGAATTGTTATGCAACTATAAACAACTATAGTCATAAAAAACATATGCGGCTGTTTACCTGATGTCTGTGCGTGCATTTGTACATATTTTTGACGCCACTTCGTGACGTATTGCTGAATAAAAAAAATTGGGCATCTTTAAACTTCACCTTAAAGAATAACGCGATAGCGATATCCTGTCCCTATACTTCAAGCACTTAGTGCATGAAATCTTTTCTAATTTGCTATGCACCCACTGAGTGGCACGCAGTAACGTGAGAGCCGTTTGTTGTGGTTGGCCTGCTTTTAACCATTAATTCATGATAATCACATCTTCTGACGCTCGATCACTATGTATGCGTTTGTACTGCGGCATTGCATGTTGCATTGTGAAGCATGTGCAGAAGACGCGTGTGTTTGTAAACCCTGCAGGTTGCTTGCACTGCATTTCCTAATAGATGAAGTTATTTTCAATTCATTTTGCGGAGATAGATTTGCTAAAGTTTTACCCTATGAAGCGACCGGCAAGCGACGTGATGCTCTCCCCTGCCGTAGCGCACAAAGACCTTACGGCCGGGTTTATCGACTCTCCAACACGGCGCAGGGATGGCACTCGCGGCAGGTCCTCAATAAACGCGGGTTTATTTACTCAAAATACAGCACAATGCGACAATAAGGGCCTTGCGGACCGGCAGGGAACTCCGGGAGACCGACCGAGTGTACGCCTGGCGGCTGGCGCTATAGGGCTATCACACAAAGGCCAGTAGCCGAGCATGCGTACGAGCAGGCGCCTGCTAAAGCAGCACGTCAAGCACTCGCACAGGCCTGTGAGTCTCTGCCCGGCGGCGGGTGAGCGCCCGGCGCAAAGAGAAATATACCATCATAACGAGTGGTCACTGGAGTTTTTTCTCAGCTGAGCAAGGAAAGGTCTAATTGACTGCTTGGCGGCGTACCCATGCTCGTTTCTACTCGTTATTCAACACATGTAATAGTGCCTCAAGAGAACCATGAAGATCCAAGTTTGGCATCAAGTTTTTTGTTTTTTTTCAAAGATCTGCCGATTTTCTAAAAGCGAAAGCTCGCATGAGATCACAACAAAAGTCACGTGTGCCGTAGTTGTCCACCACCACCAGTGTCCGTAACCATTATCGTGTGAAAAAAAAACAAAAGTAAACTAAAAGCATCAAAGACACATGGGATTCAAGCCCGGGTAATCTGCGTCCCTGTGCAGCGTTCTGCCGCAGAGTCACGGCTGTGCTTGAAACTCCGTTGCAAGCTGACGATAGGCAGGCTCGATGTCGGGAGAGGGAGGTAGCGATTCTTAAAATAGAAGAAATGAAGATAAAAGTGAGCCCCATAAGTCTCTGCAGCTAAGTGCGACACCTCAACAGTAGCTCACGAGGGAATGATATAAGGAGGGATAAAAAAAAAAGAATAGAGTGACAAGTAAAGAGTATGAAATGAAAGTATTGGGACATGGTCGAAGGACTCTGAGGACGGGGCTTTACTCGGCGGGAGCTTCGCAGTGTGAGAAAATTGTGGACGGCGGGCTGATCAGCGAGTGGCACCGGAGATTGCAGCGGCACAGCCGTTGGACAAAGAGTCTAGCAAGCGAGTCAGTCGGTGATACAGCTGTCACATCGGAGAGGAATCGCGTTAATATGAGTAATACAGTGTTTCAGAACAGCAAAGGAACAAGTACGCGTCACAGAATGCGAATCACGTAAGGAGTGGGTCATAAAATGATCTAATCATTACAAAAGGTTCAGGCATAATCCTTCATCTTCGTCAGTAACAAAATAAAAAATTGCACAAAATTTCTTGCTAGTATGTAGCGCGTACCACGCTTCTCCAAGGAATGACGATGGATGTCATAGTGAATGCCTCCGTACTACACAAAAATTATGAATTATGCATAGTGGGTGTCCTGCAAGTGTGCTTGCAGCAATCACC